CGGCTGCTGATCGTCACAAGCTTTTATGTAAAGTAGATTTTACAAGTAGATTTTATGTAAAAATTGAATTGTTCCAGGACTAAAAAATGGCGAAATTTCAATGTAAAAACACAAATTATTCAGCCAATTAATAAATGAAGAATTTTTAATATAATGATAACTGTGGGATATTAAAAATAATAATAAAAGCAGCAATTATCGGGGGCCGGGGCCAAGCAAAAAGAAAAGTGGAATGGCTAGGAGCATCAGACCAAGTGCAACAATGAGCAATTAAAGAAATATTAAGATGATTTTAGGCAAAATGGCTGAAAAATCACAGAAATATGATTTAATTGTTTATAATTTTCGACCAATAGGTGATGCTATGACCAAATTAATATGTGGTCTGAGTGTGGTGACATTGACACAGTTTGGTGTCAGTATGTTAAATGTTAATGTGGTATATTGGTATATGTGGTATAATGTGTAAGCTGTTTCATCTAACCAAGTTAACCAACACTACTAAATCCGCAATCTTTTGCCGGTCTGAAGATGAGACGATACGTTTTTGTTGAAAATCGGACAAACGGTCTAGGAGGAGTTAGAAAAAGTTGGGTTTGAAAGAAAATCGAAATGGCGGACACGTACCGGTAGTTCGATTGACTATGGAAAAATTGGTATCATTTTTATGGTGGTAAAATATCATAGGTTGAATTTTGTTTCTAGCCCTTACGGTTCAAAAGTTATTATTAGCATAAACATGAGTCCAAATTTGGACAGTTGGTGGCACTAGAGGGATTGAGTTAGAGACTTCATAATAGATAGAAGACAGTCTGGACTGTCACAATAGCAGTATGCCAAATTTCATAACTTTCCCAAAATCCATAGACATCCAGAGCAGAGGAAGAAGAAGAATCGTAATAATAATAATAATAATAAAATCGCCAACGGATACAACCTTCGGTGCTTGGCCCCTAATAATAATGAGGCAATTATATAGCGCTTTACTATACTGTACACCAAAAGCGCTTTACAATCATATCAGGGGGTCTCCCCTTAACCACCAGTGTCCAGCATTCAATTGTGTACGGCAGCCACAGAACAACCGCGCCAGTGCGCTTACCATATACACCAGCTATAGGAGATGATTGATAAAGGCCAATGGAGAAAATTTGGCCAAGATTATTATACACCCCTCTATGAGAAGGGCCATGGGATTTCTAATTACCACAGAAAGTCCGGACCTCAGCTTAATGTCTCATCCGAAGGACGGTGCTTTTTAAAGTATAATGTCCGTGTCACTATACTGGGGCGTTAGGACTCACACAGACCACAGGGTGAGCACCCTCTGCTGGCCTCACTAACACCTTTTCCAGCAGCAATTTGGTTTTTCCATCCAGATACAGACCAGGCTCAACCCTGCTTACCTTTAGTGGGCAACCAGTCTTGGGCTAAAATTGGATATGGCTGCTGGCCATAAAGTATGTACAGTTCTTTGGGGTAAGCTGTGCTGTACAAGGTTATGTTTCTGTGATGTTATAAATGCCCTCTTTTCAATTTGGTTTGACAGCATACATGCTTTATCTCTATGTGTCTCATTTCACAAGGAAGTGGCACATCTTACTCCACTCTCCTTCATATTTAATGCATAGGAGCGACCCTGTTTCACAGAACGTTAACTAGTCTCTCCTAAGATTCAGATATCACAGCAATTGATTGAGTTTGTCTGCATGTGGGAGGCTGGAGAAAGTGTGTGTGTGTTGTTCAGGCAGGGGCTCGACTCAATTATTCGTTGGCTCTGGGTGGCTGAAAGGAGGATGTATGAGTGTTTTAAACATTCCTGTTGCCTCAGCCCCTCTCCTCACCTACTACCTACACACACAAACACGCTGACTGCTGAAATACACCCCCACAGCACATGCACCTATCTAATGCCCCTCCCTCCTCGGAATCATGTGGGAGGGACGCCCGCAAGTCCTTTCAGTTATGAGATCAATGGATGAGCTCAGGCAGAATCCAAGGTCACCTTCATGGACACAGCGCGAAGCGGGAAAGAAACAGAGACAGGGATGTAAAATCCGTAGCATTAATGAAGGAGCACACTTAGCCTTAGTCTCTGCAGCGCAACGTTTTTTTTCCAAAATCATTGTTTACAAAAGCGCTTTATCTCGTTGCTTTCTTATATCAGGCACTCCTCCTTTTCATGTACCAATTAGCCGCTGGTAGAGCTTGGGCTTCAACACCCCTTCCCTCTCTCACTGTAAACTCTCCTGCAGCTGGAGGGAAAGGGATTGAGTTTTCTCTCGTCTTTATTCATCAAGTGAGTCACTGGCAATGGCTGCCGGGAGAGGTTAAAAAAGAGTCATGTGCGACAGAGGAGAGGAGGGATGATATAAGCCCTTGTGAAAGCAAATAACAATGGGAGGATCATTCGGGCAAAGAGAATGGAGAGGAGGAGGAATGGTACCGATCATAAAGCTTGACCGTACTGGGAGATTAGCAGCGCTTAGCCTTCCTCTCTATCTCTTCTGTTCATTGATGGACTGCAGACCATTGGTTCTCAACTGGTGGTTGAATGGATTGTGGGTTTGTTCTGACTGAGACTGCTCTCAAACCTATGACCCATTTTGCAAATGAAATGGAAACGGTTTCCATATTTCAGTTGTTGACGTAAAAGGCAGCAAGTCAAATTTATGCATGAATTCATCTCACTTAGAAGCGGGGGGGACTGAGCCATTCCTCAAAACATCTTCTTTTATGTTCCACAGATTACACACTCATATAGGTTTGGAACATTTTGAAGGAAATGACAGAATTCACATTTTTGGGTGAAGTATCCTATTAACTATTTAGCATATATCATGTTAATAATATTGCATTGTGTTGGGTCTACATAGGTCATTGGTGTATATATGAAACGCCAATTCGTATTTCCATTTTTGGCGTGCTATCAACACACATATAAGCGCTTTTCAGCGCGTTTATGAACGCCGTTGACTTAACGTTACATTACTATATAAATTTATGACCTACCCCCAACCCCGTCCCTAAAACTACCCGTCACTGGGTTAATAGCATTTATGAGTCTTCCCCTACAATCCTAAGGAAAAAAATATCGCTCCCAAGATGTAGATGTACATTTTGTTTCATTTCGCTCGGACATTTAACGTCGTGTACATACATGCGGAATCACTCAGAAATTTAACGGCGCAGACAAACACGCATACACGCAGATAGCTCAAAATGCGTATAGATCAACCCGGTCTCATCCCAAATCGTCATATAACTGACGTTTTGGGATGTCTTTTGACCATACGTCAATATTCGCCTTTTTAGGGCCCCCTTAAACGTCGGTAGATGAGGTTATGGGATCCTAACTCTACCCCATACCTAAACTTAACCCTAAACCTAACCCGTCACCTAACTGACGTTAAAGGTAAAGCGTCAGTTGTATGACGGCCCGGGATCGCCATCTACCGACGTTTAAGGGGGCCCTAAAAAGGCGGATATTGACGTATGGTCAAAATACGTCCCAAAACGTCAGTTATATGACGATTTGGGATGAGACTGTGTTATATAGATAACACGCCACTTAATTTGAAAGTGGCGTGTATGTTTACACGAAAGTCATGATGTCATGTTGTAATAGTAAGGAATAATTTGAGTTCAATACACAATTCCTTTGTTAAAACATGAGCAATATATGAGCCATAAACTTGTAATATTCTTTAAATTAATTTGGTTGCACTTCATTTTACAGTACATGCACTTGTGTGTACTTAAGTGTATGCTACTTAAAGTACTGGGTAATATAATATAAGGTAACTTTCCTTAAGTTTAGGTTTAGGGTAAGTTCAGCGTTAATTACCTAGTTATTACCTAATTATTGTAATTGTATAATAATAAGTACCATGAATTGATTGTTTGATGTTGAGGACATTTTGTTATTATGCCGGGTTGCCAGCAACTGCTGTTGATCTCACCGCCGTGAAAGAGAGCCAAAGTTTCAATTTTCGGCTGTTGTGTTTAATTTAATGTTTGGACAGAAATCTGGCTTCATTCAAAATGCGCTGTTACATGGATCTGTGTGGGATGTTTGAAGACCTTTGTCCAATTGGACATTGAGCTTATGGCATAGCTTCAAAGCCGTGAAAGAATGAGGACACACGTTTTGGTGAGAGAAAACCTGTTCATGCTCGATTACATTTGTTGTGTCTTTACAGTTGCTTAAAATCCAGTGCAAATAATCTAGGAGTATCTTTACATTGTGCACACAGGTAAATGTCAAACTATAAATATTTGACAGTTGCTAAGTAACCTCAGAAACCACCTGCAGTGGTACATGAACGAATTGATTTAAAAATAGGTGCAGCGGAGTTGTCACTGTAGAATATACGTCATCAAAACTGCTGAATGGGAAACAGATAAATCAAGCAAACGTATAACCTTATTAATAAAGAGAAGTGCATCCTCAAAGATCTGAGATAAAATTACACTAACACCTGACAGATGGAGCTGAATGTCTACAGAAATGCAGAAGTATGTTTATAGCAGACAGAAATGACTGGAGAAGAGCGCCACATTGTGGTGAAAAGGGGCAGTACAACTATTCAAGAGTAGTTGTTTTCACTAATCTTTTGCTTTGACGACTTCTACAAATTTGTCATGATGGATCAATGTCTCCAGCTCTGTTTCAAGCAAGTATCTTCCTACAGAAATCATATGTGCTCTCTACATGAAGAGTGTTCCAAAAGCATATTTATAGACCTTATTCAGAGCAGCGCCATGACAGGTATGAAAGTGAGGCTGTGAGGGATAGACTTACCGTGTTTCCAATGGCATCTGCTGTAAAAAGCTGAATAAAGCGGCTATATTACTTACAATTTTCCACAGCTTACATTGTTGGGAGTTTTTTGTCAACTGACATTTCTTGGAAAGATATTTTTCCAGTGTTTCATAAGCAGAACAATCCGAAAACACATTAATTAACACTACAGCCCATTGAAGAGATGCACGTCTATCCCTCACAGCCTCGCTTTCATTCTCATTAAAAATCAAAGATGGCGCTGCCGTGAATAAGGCGTATGCTGCCTTTTTCTGGACAGATTGTGAGGTACAGTAGCAACACCTCCATATCCTCCATGCAGAAGGCTATCCCTTAATATTTTGCAATGCAAGTTATTGAAAAGTGCACCAAAAATGGTGGATGAATCGAAATAATTGACATTTACTGTATAGATGCTGCTTAGAATGCATTCAATAATGGAGCATTAGTAAAAATCATCCCAAAAATGTGCTTGTAACCTAACCAATAGTGTTAACAAAAGCAAGCGTGAGTGAGATAAAAATGCATTTACTAGTGCAACTCTTGCTCATATGTAGACTCTTACAAATTGGTCACTTATGGTGGAATTTCAGTTAGATCATTCCTTAGTGTATTTGTAGTGCATATGTAGAGATAGCTCACTAGATTTAGCAACAGAGCCATTTTTACATACAGTATATTGTGCAAAGTCACTGAGTTCATACCTAGCGTGACTGGCTAAAAGAGAACAAAGCTCTGAAATAAAAACGTTCTCCTAGATATTGATTGAGACATCTTTTTCCTTCATATTATTTTGCTGTGGTCACACAGGAGTTTAGAAGTTCAGAAAATACACACATACACACAAATTGTGGAATAAAGAGGGACATTTTCCTAGACTGGAGTTCCTATGGGTAGTCGTGTTAAGCAGAAATAAGCCTGGGGGTATAAATTGATGTCCACCGGGTTGCCATCAAGCCTGATGTCCTCCAGGGCTTTCCGTACGTAGCTTTTGTCATGAATGTTGCAGAAAGTATCTTGGCTTATGCTCTGTATATTGTTATTCTGGAGAAAATGTAGAAGAGAGGGAGAGAAATAGCATTGATTGTGAGGACATTATCGCCCACTAGTGAGGAGAGTAGCAGGTGTTTTTCCTGTTTTTACCTGCAGATGGAGCGATCGTAGGCTTTCAGGTAGGGGTACAGGAATGAAGTCCAACTTGTTGTTTGATAGGTACAGGAACTGAAGCTCTTCCATCTCCTAATCACGAGAGAAAACACAAAGCACATGCTCCGTTTATTATTTGTCAGTGGAAAAGTAATCATTTGACGAGAATATGCACTTTGAAATACAATAATAATACGACTGAATTTGGTTTTACTGCACTGTTTTAAAGGGATAATCATTCACTTCCATAGTAGGAAAAAATATACCATGGAAGTCAATGGAAACTGTCTGATTACCGACATTCTTCAAAATATCTACTTCCTTTTACAGTCCAGTTACCCATGTAAATACTATGTACTTATTTTAGTAACTATAACTAGTACTAACCCTAAACCTACCTCTGTTCCATGTACTTACCTTATATTAACCAGTACTTTCTAGGTAAGTACACTGTAAGTACTGTACTGTAAAAGGAAGCATTTAGTGTTCAACAGAAATGAAAACAGAAATAAATGATTTGGATTAACCATCCCTTTCAGTGCAAACAAGGTTTTTTTAAACATCTGTAAACAAGCCATAAACATCTGTCTGTCTGTCTGTCTGTCTGTCTGTCTGTCTGTCTGTCTGTCTGTCTGTCTGTCTGTCTGTCTGTCTATCTATCTATCTATCTATATTTTGCATTAAAATGAAAAAAAAAAATCTTGAGCACTAAATCAGCATATTAGAATGATTTCTGAAGGATTATGTGACATTGAAGTTCTAATGCTGAAAATTCAGCTTTGCCATCACAGGAATAGATAATCGTAATATTTCACCATATACAGTTTTTACTATTAAAAAAATTCTAGACCCCAAACTTTTGTATGGTTCTGTACTTACCTTAAAGGCGTCTGCGTGCATGGTTGAACTCCTTAGCTGGTTATTGCGAACATCAATGTGCTTCAGGGAAGCTGGGAGTTCTGGGAGTACCTGGATGTTGTTGTCGGCCAACATGAGATCCTGAAGTTTAAGCAGGGAACGAAATGCGGCCTCGTTCACTTTACCAATCTGGTTTCCACTCAGGTCGATCCGCTTCAGTTGATCTGAGAATGCCGTTAAGTGCAGTTTTCTTAAACATTGTTCAGTTTGATTTGTAATTACGTTGATTTAAAAGTCTTAAATAGTTATGCATTTGTGTAAACTGTGTAGGTTAGTCTGTTTGATTCTTACTGAGATTGATGAAGTCTGTGGCCTTGACCTCGGTGATCTTGTTGAAGCGAGCATAGAAGTGTGTGGTTTCTTTGGGAAGAGGGGGAATCTGAGTCAGTTCTGAGTCATCACAGTAAACACTGCTGCTGATACACGCACACAGCAGACAGGAGGGCATCCCTACAGAAGAGAGAGAGAGAGGACTGTGGTATGAAGTTTCGTACCACTAGAGGCCGCAAGATTCATGACTGAAAAAAAAAAAAGCATTTTTATCACTTTCAAACCATTTATCCATCTACCTAAGCCTGTGTCAGGCCCAAACAGGCCCGGACCATGAAAGTCTAAAGTTGATGGAACAGGAGACTTTGTTGGACGGGGCGGCAGTGTCACTTCCTCCACATAGTCCTCAGGAGGAACTACAGCAGGTGGCGGAGTGACTGCTGGAGGAGGAGCCAGTGTCTCAACCTCAGTCAGGAAGAAAGAGAGGTTAGACACGGAACAGAACTATATACGTATAAGCAGGGTCATAATGACTCTATTCTGAAAGGAATAGTTAATAAAAAAAATCAAGATTTATTTGATCTCTGCTTTATTTGTCCATGCAATGGAAGTCAGTGGACTCTTCTTCCCCCCAAAATTATATGCTTTATATAATAGATTGTAACATCAGAAATGGTGTCTAATGAAATGAATACAATTTTAACAATTGAATTGATCTTTTAAAATGACAATTAGTTTAGAACAAAGTGTTATGAGTTGTATGGTGCTTTTTTGTGATTTTTGGTGCTGAATAGCGGTCATCCACCTTCGCTTTCATTATATAGAAAAGAATGTAGCTTGATGTCATGGCTAACATCCAATCGTTCTCATTTTGTTCAATGAAAGAAAAAAAAGTCATACAGGTTTGGAACAACGTGACAAACTTGATCAGCTCTTGAAATCTCCTCTCACCTCCTCCTCCTCATATTCATAATTCAGATCCAACGTGTTTAAATCATCGTATCCAAATGCTTCAGGGTCCAGATCAGTTGGAGGGGCACAAAGACCGAAGCCCAAAAGAGTCCAAACAAGATACAGCACCATCTGTAATAGACAAAGTGAATTATCTGTGCATTGTACTTTTGTGATATGCATCGGGGACTCGTTATGAATTCAACATCACAGAGCGTTATGCAATTTATACTCTTAATAGCTGAAAAAATGTGCTTTCATTTTGGGGTTTTGGAAATGTTTTCTCTTTTTTTTCCCCCCCAAGAGATTGTATAAGTATCTGCAGGAGTACAGCCCCAGATGTCTGTCACACCAGTGTTTGTTTAACCTTTAAGGCATTTCTTACTGACTGCTCAGACACGTAAACTCTTATTAGTCACAAGCATCACGCATGACAGTGTGAAAGTTCATATCCTTTAGACCCTCCACGCATTTGAAAACATATAGTTGTATGGTTCGCAGTGGTAATCTATCATCTGTCTTCTATGGTTATGGAAGTTGGCCAAACCTGCAGAGTTTTGTGAAGAAGGCTGACAGGGGTGTGTGATCTAAAAGTAGGTATATATAAATACAAATAACATAAATCTGAATCATGCGTCTTCCCTCATACTACATCAACACAGATGGAGTCCATAATGCACATTTACATGGTCGTCAATTCAATGCCGCACAATCGGGACCGCACCAACCTCGCCTTCCCATTAACTCCTAACAACTCCAGCCTGACACATCAGTATTTCGAGCTCTCCTGGGCCTATTGAATTATTCACGTAACCCTGTTATGAAAGGATTCAGAATAAGACTAATTACCAAGGAGTCTTCATACAGTAAGAAGGGGGGAAAAGAGACCTACCTTTGATGTTTGTCTGTGAACAGCCATGGCCTGAGAGCAGACCTTAGGGGAACAGTGATATGGAAGCTGGCCTGTGTTCTCTTGAGGTTTGCAGTGAATTGTGAATTGCTGACCCGGGATTGAGGACAGGTTAGGTGAGGGGGAGAGGTGGGAGCTCAGCTGGGGGATGGCCAAGTCAGTTTGCTCAGCTGTCACTAGTTTTACAGCGCAGCCATTCCCAAAGTCTCTGACCCGACCTGGTTTGGTAATTTACCGCTCCCTGCTGGCAGCTTGTTAACTTCATGTGGTTTTAGGACGTGTGTCCTAGCGAGATGCGAGCTTTCTTTTTTTCCCCATGACATTTTCCATTGCTTTGGTGTTCCAGAAGACAATTTTGTATTTCCAGGAATCATCTTTGTATGTTTTAGGAGCGGTCCGTTCACCCCTTGTGGATTCCAGCCCATTCAAGTATACTTCTTCTTATAGTGAGCAATTAATCTGTGTCATAATTGTTTGACTCAATTTGCTGAAGCCGAACACCCTTTAAAGTCTGAATGAAACTAATGGACTTAATGTTATTTCATGGTTTATTAAGCAGGTCAGTGAGGTCAGCTGTTTGTGATTTTGACTTAGGTTGACATCCAATAGCAAACCTAGTGGACGACCTTTGACATCGTCTGATTTTTTACTGGCGTCTGACTGACGAGACTCAAACAGACACTCCTGTTTCATTCCTTTTCTTTAAGAGATCTCGCGTCACTTCTCAATTAGCAACCATGTTTCACAAATCAAAATTCCATTGCTAGTACTTTGTACAGATGATGACTATCTCAGAAGGAAGCACTAATTAACAAAAGAGAAGGTACATGAGAGGTACTTTTCCTCTCTTCTATAATGTATTTCATAGACAAGTATTTATTTTTACTGTCACAATGATCACTGCTTTTGAAAGAAGTCTGTTATGCTCTATTAGATGCAAAATACAATAAAAACAGCAATGTTGTGAAATATAATTAGAATTAATAATAACTCTTTTCTATTTTAATACATTTTTTTTTAGCGGCCATTACAGTCTTCAGTGTAACATGATTCTTCAGATTCTTCATTCTAACATGCTTATTTGATGCTCAGGAAACATTTCTTATTTGTTAGCAATGTTGCAAACAGTTATGCTTGTGGAAACTTCAAAAATTTCAAAAATCTTACTATCCCAAACATTTGAATGGTAGTGTATATATCTGTCAGCTACACGCACACACACACACACACACACACTGCTGATGTGCTAGCATGCGGCACCCTGTGGTGCCCGTTCTTTTTTCCTTTTTACTGAAATCTCATGTTTAAAGGTGCTCTAAGCGATGTCGGGTGACGTTTAAAGTATTTTCAAACTAAATGGAGGCTAGATAGACTCTCTCTCCTGCTCATCTGCGCACTGACCCCCCAAACCCAGGGCCTTCTTGTCAGTTATTGGCTGGAACAGTTTGTTATGTTTCATGGATGGGTCGCTGCTGTTTTTGTAGCCATTTGTGGAGCCTGGGTTGTCTGCATAGACAGCGTGTGTTTTTAGTGTGTTTAGGGGACAGGCAGCTAGCGGATAGTGAGGAGATGTTTGCTGTATGTAAAAGAAAAAATGTTTGGGTCTAAAAAACTTGTGACATCGCTTAGAGCACCTTTAATAATGATATACACAGCTGTAAGAGAAAAATGTGCAGTAAGGGTTTCAAAGATGCTTTTTATTAAATTACATTTGTTCTAAGATAAAATGCCTAAAGCACATTAAACTATAAAACTAAAAAGCACACTAAAGACAAAAACGAAGTCTGCATTTCATTTAGCCACTGTGTGCATATCTTCAGAAACTCTTCAATACGTATTTCTAAAATTCTATATTTTCATAAATCAGAATTACTTCAAGCTCAATTATGGGATGCAGATATATTTGTTTCCACAATTAAGTGCAACATCAATGTAGCCTACATTAATTGAAATCTTTTATAAAACTTAGGACAATATGTTTATCTTGAGATTTATCTGGAAACATTTTTAGGTATAGTAATTGATATTGATCAATTTTAACAGAACATTATTTTGCCTGTTAAGCTGACTAATTTCATCTATAATGACAGTTGTTATGTTTTCATATCCACCTGCTGGGGGAGCAAGAGTGCTGAGCATTTCAGGAAATGGTTTTCATCAGCCACCTGAATAACATTAGTCAAGCCATGGAGGATGTATACAATTACAGAAAGCTCACTTCTAAGACTTTTTGAAACACATTTAGGAAGCTGAGATTTTTTTGGTTATTTGGCTTCTCATAGTGTGCTATTTCAGACTAGTGGAAAGAAAACTTTTATGTGCGTTTTTTTATTGCACTTTATCTAGTTGCATTTGCGGATTTAAATTACATACATATATTAAATGGCCGTTTTCTCAAAATTATTTTTTTTTCTCATGCACTGAGCCATAAATCTTCACTTTAGTAGCACTTGCATATATCAAACTTTACAGTGTTATTGTTATATTCTGAAGGGTTTTACAGAAGGGTTATTTATATAGCATTCACTTCGTTTTATACAACATTTTATTCACATATTATGCCCCTTTTCATTAGATGTAATATAAATCTATGGTGTCCCCAGAATGTGCCTGAAATTTCATCTCAAAATACCCCCCAGATCATTCATTATAGCCACAGCTGTCAACATTGAACATTGAAAATAAGGGAGATTTCCTGGAATCCATCCCCAAAATAAGGGATTTTTTTTTACACGATTCCTAACCACAAACTTTAAAAATCAAGCACTAATCATTAAATGTTTATAACTAGCATATGTGTGAGAGAGAAAGAGACAGTGTGTCATTTAAAGAAAAAAATCTACATGGATTAGCAGTGTGTTGCTCTTGCCTTTACGACAATTTCAACTGTTATCACATCTTCCAAAATCCGAAAAATATGGAAGTTGGCTCAGGCTGTCTGTTTATTTCAATAACATTTACACGTTTTGTGTAGTTTTAAAGAGCCTATATTTAGCCTGATGGTGGACCATCACTCAGAAGACACACTTGTTATTGTAGCCTATCCTATATTTATATGTTTTGAGGCCCAGAAGGTTTTTTTTCTTCTTCTTCATGTAATCACATAGTTAAGACCATAAGAAACAAATGAAAAAAAAAAAGATATTTTATTCATATGTTATGCTATGACCTCTGTAGAGGACACCAAGACTCGATTGTTTAAAAAAAAAATGTCAAAATTATGTATAGGCAAAAATAATGGCAATATTTGAAAATCGATTATTATTATTGTATTATTATTGTAATTTGTTTAAATTACATTGATATCAGAATTTATATCAAAACCTAGACTTTCAAACATCAAAATGTAATTTATTAATATGTATTCATGTACACAATGACATATAAACATTGTTTCCTATTTATTTTTCATTTTTTATAAATTTTTGCCTGGAAACGCTTTCAACACCCTTGCGTGTTGCGTGAAAAATAGGCGACGGTTCTATTTCTATGCACGCGTTTTCTGGAGACGTGTGTCACACAGGTATTGTGCAACCAGTTAACATGGGAGCCGAAATAAAAACGGACACGCCACGCAACCAGTGTGTCGCCGGCCTATAACAGCGGCGCGCGTTGTGTCCGAGCTTGTACGTCTCACACAATTAGAGTGTACAAATATGGGATATTTTACGGGAAAATACTAAAGACAGGGGGAAAAGAGCTAAAATATGTGGGAAACCCGGAAAAAACGGGAGGGTTGACAGCTATGATTATAGCTTGTCAAAGTTTCCCCTTTTTGGGTGTGAGCAAAAAAATTGCTGTTTGTGTGTCCCTTTAAATGTAAATGAGCTGCTGTTCCCCGCCCCGTTCAGAAGAAGGCCGATCCTTTACACAAGCTTCGGATTCTCGGCAATAACAAAACACACAAATTCAGTCAGATTTCAGAAACAACCCAGAAGCGGAGTGCAGCCTTACGGAGAAACTCAGGAAGAGTTTAGACTGCACCTGGACGTGTCTGAATGCTAGTGGATATATTTATATAGTTGTTGTGCTACATCTCATCGACTTGCATGTACTGTCATGTTTAACTTTTACACAAGTTAACACAGTTCACCGAGATCTTTAAGAGATCAGATAAGACTGTGACAGTTTTTTTGGTCAAAAAGTGTCTTGTGCTCTTCTGTGCAGCCAACGACAGAACAGTTTGCATGCTTAATTGTCGATAATACATTTAATCGATAAAACTTATCGATCATCGATTAAGCAGGATCATGCGCTCAACCGCGAAACATGTAAGCGAGCGCGCCGGTGTGGTGAAGGGTTGAGTCCCACTGAATGACACACACCAGAGTTGTTTGGGACTATTTTACACCTTCATCATGACTATAAGTTTGCGTTTGCATTCGCAGCCTTTTGTTTTGTGCAAATGTAAGTTGTAATAGTTAATTTTGTGTACGCCTATCTATATCGGATTTATCACATATTGGATGCATTTGGTTAAGAATTGACGTGATCTTGCACGACTAATAATGACTATTGGGACTGTCATATTACAATATTGTAATAAAACATTGTGAATTATTTGGGTTTAGATGTCGCGTTGTTCCAGGAAGAGCGCATCCACCACACCAATAGTCATTCTGAATGGCACGCAACTTAATTTAAGTTCACGCCGCTCAAGCAGAATGCACGGCTAATAATAACGATGGTTAAAGGGTAATATAACTAAACCCCTGGTCAGAGCCTGACTCCACCCACTGGCAATATTTGAAAAATGCTGAAAAAGTGCAGACCCCAGCGGAGATAGAGGGGACAAAATAGATGCTAAAACACTCTATACTGATCGTTTTCAATACTCGCAATTCCAACTCCTGACTCGTTACAGTGGTTTTGACGAAACAAGCTGGTTTTTATACTGCCGCTCGTACCAAGAGTGTGGTGAGCTGAAACCTGTGTACGTCACGAAGTGCGGAACATCCAATAGGAAAATTCAACTGCATTAGCCACCATTCAACCTGAAGAGGGCAGCACTAAGACGTTTTTTACACCATATATTGTAGAAATAAAACACTTTATACACAAGTGTTAAAAAATTT